TGTGTTCTGTGTATGATACAGTGGTGAGGGGCTGTGGAGTATTTCTAAAATGTGGCCAGGTGGTACCAAAAGAAAATACCAGATAAAGGGAACTTTACAGCACCTTTCTCCTCCCTGAGCTGGCCCAATTTGTTAGCTATGTGCTATACAGTAACTCCACAATGTCTTTCTTAAAGCACTGAAAGATAAATAAAAACCAACACTGGATATTTCTGGTTGATTTAAAATAGCATATTCTTACATGGCACACTGACTCTGTCAAATTATTTTTTTCAGCATCAGCGAATGAAACACACTCTGATCAAGGTAATTAAAACCGTTAATCCTTCCACACTCCTAATACACTGCAATACTTTAAAAGTAAGTTTTTATCTATAAATAGTAGACAGATGTTTTTGTCTTTTATTTTACTTCTGCATTTCTATTTTCACCTCTCTTAAAGGTAGAATGCCGCAGAAATGGTTCAGTTTGAATTTTTTCAGGTTAAGTGATGTTTAAAATGACATGTTTCATTAATCAGAATGCAAAACAGATCTGAAGGCTAATCAAATAAAATACCATCTGAGCATGAGAGAACTTGAGCATGTGATTAAAGTGGGAGAACTGTGGAAAACGGTAATGAACCCGGGCTTTGAGGTGCAGTTGAGGAGTCATGGAGATTTTTTTGAAAGTTCTTGTTTTTTAAACTATTCTTAGAAACATTTTGAGAGCTTTGAAGATTCACAAGCTCACACATTCCTGATGAAAGCTGAATCAACTTCTGCGTTGCATGGATGAATGACTAATGTGAAATTAGAATTATTTTCTTACATCGTTTTTTAAATCTTCTTTAAACAAAAAAGGTGAGAGGGTTTTGTTTTGTGACTTTCAAAAATTCAGTACAAACTAATATTTTTGCTTTCAGTTATCAGGAAACCATTCACACCTGGTGGACTTTAGACTTCATATTTCTGTTAGGTTTCTGGAAGCCAGGAGAGAAGCGTGTCTTCTTTTCAATACTTCACACACAGCCAACCATGAGGAAAAGTAACAGAGCACAGAAAAGCAGATTTACTCATAATCTTAATAATACCCACATACCTTAGAATTTCCACACATTTTTGGATTACCGAAAAATAATAACCACATCTTTCCATTATTTTCTTTCTGTACAGTATTACAGCTCAATTAGAATTCTATGAGCTCCTCATGTTTAACGAATGTACACAGTGCTGTGAAATTCAATTTTGCTGCAAATGCGGGCATTTGTGGTCCAGTTTTTGGATTGCACATTTCCTTTTTGTGAAATGTGGAAATTCCACATTTCCTTTTTGTGTTGGGGATAATTACCTCTGAAATGTTGGCAGAAATTCAATCTGTTTTCCTTAAGCATAGTAGTATTTGCATGTGAATGAAAGACGATGTGTTCACAGCGACTCTAGGCCATGGTGAGGTTGGTAATTGAAAACTGTCTGCCTCCAGAATCCAAGCGAAAAAGTAACTTCTGTTAAGAGTTAATCAATAAAGAAGGCGTACAACAAATTAATCATATCTGAAAATTAATATTATGGACACTTGTCTTGATTGAGTACAGTGGCTATGGAATTAATACTTTTTTTTAAAGAAAAAGCTTAAATTGTGTGTCGGAGAAAGTCTCATTAAAACCAACTCTTCATTTTCTCCTGCACATATGGTACACATTCTCCTTACGGTTTGATGTTTTAGAAAATTCCGAATGCTTGTCTAAAAGCCATGTTTAAAATTGTTGGTGATTCAGATAACTAGGCTTTTGCAACGCCAGTTGGTGTTTCCTTAAGATAACATCCAATAAACTGTACACTACACTGCTGGTTATGGCACTATAAACATATTTCAGATTGAATTTGTGTGTAAAAAGCTGTGTGAAAATAAATTTGCATTCCATTGCACAAAAGGCATTTTCTTCAGCGGTATCTGTCCATTCAGTTTGCTTTAGATAGTATTTAATCTGATGACCTACAAAGGTAACTTATTGTTCTTGGAATGTGCTAAAATGAAGAGAAGTCCAGTATAATCGAGTTCATTACTCACTTGTCACAAACATCTAGTGCAACATCATTTCTGCCATTGTAACCCTGTGAGCTTCTTAAAATATGAACTACAATGGCAGCTGTCGTTGAAGAACTTAAGATGTGGAAACTGTGAGTTGTCATTTCTAGGGCTTATTTCAGGTGTTCTGTATAGGTGACAGGTATAAACCTGTTATGGTGGTTAATCTTCAAACCTTATCAGGTCTCATTGTGTAACATGCTACTAGGGTGATGTCACATCTCACATCTCGGGACTCTTGAGCACTCAGACACCCCTCGGGAGGGCTGGGCTGGGCTGTCCTGATCAAGTGATCAAATACGCCTATGTTGGTGGTTTGACTCGAGTCTGGTGTCTGTGTGCAAACTGAATGTTGCAGAGGCATGGCTCTCTCTCTCAGGGGCATGTTGCAGCCCTTGACCAGCAGTTTCCTGTGGGATCCTGAAGGGAACTAATAGTCCCATTTTGAAACAGTCTGTTCCCTATCACCCTATGAAGCAAGACCTGCTTTGACCCAGGACATTGAATAAGAGCTTCAATGCCCAGTAGTAGGAGTATGAGAAAGGCATGTCTGTGTGCCCTGTGAACACCATCTGTGCTCCACTATATGCCCTTCTTGTTTTTCCTTCTTCCTCCTCCTTTTTGATTTCCTCTGAGTGTAACTATATTGTTATTTTAGAAACAGGGCTTGCAGTATTGAGTCAAGAAGTTAAGATTGAGATAGAGATGCTTTTATAGACTCTAGAAAATGAAACCTGTGTTCCATTTTGCTGTGCATCTCAACTTTGCAAAACCAAAAAAAGAAAGACATAGGGATAGCTGGCTAGCTTGGGTTTCGTAAGAACATGTTTGTCTATGTACTGTGCGTTACAGTTTAAGCAGTAAGGGTTATGTGGCTCTGTACAGCATTGTGAATCCAATAAAATGATAAGCACAAAGAAGTCTCCATCTGACACCGGATCTTGTATCAGGATAAATTCTGCGGGAATGTATTGATTTCCAGCAGATTGGACAGGAGATATTTGGTGATAGTTGAAGAATGAATCAAAGGAATAGCTAAGATTGAAAGATCCACTTAGCTGATCAGGAGGTCCAGTAGCAGTAATAGCTTCGTCTTCTAGGGGGAATTACCAGTAGTCATGTAACTGCAGAAGATGGTGGATAGTCACATATTGGAGGCTGAATCAGATCTCCAGGCCATTCACTCAGAGTCTCCCGCAGGGCTTCTGTAATCACAGCAAGTGAGGCGTCAACACAGGGAAATAAATCAACAGGGCATGGATTTGCAATCGGGTGTCAAATAGATTAAACTGCTTTAATTCTCTCTCTTTAAAAAGGCTCAGAAAAATACAGGCACAGAAAAAAAAGAAAATGAATCGACAGAACCTCGTCTGGTTTAAAGAGCTTCTCCTTGAAACAGGAACCCAACCAACCCTTTTTGTTAATGTTGGCCTACCAGCCACACCCCAAGATTGTCATATAAGGTATTAAAAAAGAAGCATCCCATTGAGAAAGAGAAGAGCTTAATGGCTAAGACATTAACTCAAAACCCACACAGCATGGAAAATGTGTTTTTAATAGACAGAATTCTGTGTAGATTAGGAGTAGCTAGTGGTAGGAAAAATATCCCTTAATTTCTTGTTATATACAAGTAGTATACTGTAAGGTGGAGGTCATGGTTGTTGGCGTGTGCTGTTCATTCATTCAAGTGCTGAGAGTAGCATGTGTTCTTCTGAAGCCTTAATTGTCTGTAATGAATTGTTTTAGACTGAAAGAGGAGTATTTCCTTTCTGTAAGACTGTAAGAGGAGTATCCAGATCTTTTCTGATTAATATGTGATGTATTGTAGTACTATGACTTTTATGAGTGTTTACAATGGCTTTCTTAATAGCCTTTATTTAACGGTTTTACGGTATCTCACCAACACTGTAATATTCAACATACCTATTTATTTCTCATATCTTATTGATATAGAAACCTGATGTAGAGATACACACAGTATTTTCTATCTAAATTCTTACAGAACAGTAAGAAAGACACATAAGCATGATCCTTGCTGTTTTGAGATGACTCACTCTGGGAATATATTGATTTCAAAATCCTTTTTAAAGGCAGCTGGGAGTTTTCTGTCCTGATTCATTTACTGGGCTTTATGCTGTATATCTTTCAGTTTTTTCCTTAACTTCTTTTTTAAAGAGGACGTGAGTTCCAAAGTCCAGCAACAGCTTTCATTGTTTAAAACTGGCACATTACCATCTAATATTGCTTAAATATTGTTTGTGTTTAACATTCCACTTTCCGAATGTTCGGAAACTGCTGCTGATCCGGGTTTAGTTTTGCAGTGGATGCATAACAGTTTTTATGGTCTAGCACAGTTGTCAAAAGGCAATACATGTGATTTTAAAAAGTGTTAATTGTATCCCCATCTCTCTCTGGGACATTACACTGAGGTCCTTTGGTCACGAGACAACCCATGGACTGTCTCTCAGAAATGGGGAGTTAACCTGTGTCCTGGCTTATGTCCACTCTGGGTTTGAATAGCCTGGCCTCCCTAAAGTTTTTCCTTTATCCAAGTGATGAAGCAGTTTCTTACTTTTCTGCTTGATGTGCTGTGCAGTGGAGGGGCTGCTGGTGCAGAATGGCTACTACGTGTCCCCCAGGTGGGGCTGCCTTCAGTGGTGTATGAAGTGGGTCCTCTTCCATGTAAAATGAAAAGTGCAGTGCAAACGCTATCATTTCAATCGTTAATATTTCTTCATTAGACCAGAGAGAATAGAGGCACAGTGTACTCTCTCAACCCTCCAAATCTCTTCACTGCTCTGTCTAGCAGACAAAGATGGAGAAAACAAGACAGTGTTCAAGTGCCAAGTGGCTCAATGAGATCTGCCAAGAGGAGTGGAGATAGATTTCCCCACAGGCTTGTGAGAAAGACTTGTACAAGATGTGTCAAGCCGTCTTGAAGCAGTACTAATAGCGAGGTCAGTCCAGATATTAATAATATACTGGATGGTTTCTGGGACCTCTGTGTGCATTTTTTTTCTTTATTTGGAAACCAGAAGAATGACTTGTTTTCTGAAAGGAGTAAAGATAAATCTGAGTTTTGAATATAACGTGATTTCTCTCAGGCAACCACATTAATGATACAATGTCAATCGCAAATTCCTACCTCTGATGGCTGACATTGTTATCCAACTAGTCATCGTTTGGTACATGCAGTAACTCACGTAGAGTGTGGAGTGTGTTATCACATGATTTGACAG